CCTTTGGGACAGCCTTCGACGGAGAAAAGAAAGCAGCGGTTTCTACGATGAAGCGGAGTCCCTTTATTTGGGAGATGATACGATGCGGCTGCCTGGGGGAGATCCAGCGCCCAGCAGCTGCTTCCCCAGCCCTAGGCACGGACGGTATCACCCAGCCTCTTTGTACAGTGGGAAGGGAAGAGCCTGTGGCACCCCAGCTTAAACAAGTGATGTCACCACCACTTAATTACTCCTACTTTTTTTTTTTTTTTCCAATACCTGAAATTTTCTGGAAACCACGTGAGCAAAAGCACAGCAGATGGGCTGGAAACCTTCCTGAGTGGGAAGCAGATGTGGGCACGTCCCGTCCTGCCTTCCAAACCCTTCTGTGAATTCTTTGCAAGTGACGTCTATTTTGGGGGAAGTGATTTAGATGGCCGAGTTTTAGCTACTCACTGTTTCACCCAGAAATCAAAAAGGAGGAAGGAGGGAAGAGGGCTGGCAGGAAGAAGGGGATGTGGATGGCTCCAGGCAGGCACATAAAGGAATGAGAGGAGGAGGTGAGGATGGAAATGTGACACTAGAAGGGTGGATGAGCATGGAAAAAAGGAAGAAGTGAGAGAGAAGGAAAGAGCAGGGATGGAGCGGAGCTAGGGAAGGCTGCAGAGCTTTCCCCAGCCATCCCCCAAACCAGGGTCCACAAAGACCCACAGTCTGGGGTAAGAAGTTCTCCCGTTCCCAGCCACCACGCCCCGATCCCAGCACGGGCAGGGTGGCTACAGCACTTCCCCCAGTGCCCGTCCACTATCCCCCAGGGTTGGGAAGGGTCAGACAAGGAGAGCAACAGCAAACCACATGCGTGCCCAAATTAGCATGCAGCCCTGTGGTCACTGGCGTGTCCCTGGCTGTCCTACCACAGCACTGGTCTGGGCATGCCTCCAGTCCAGCCCAGCACCTTCTTTCTCCACTGGGCACTGCCGAGACGGGCTGAGAAACAGAGCTGAACTAAGGCGTCTCTGCAATCAAAGCCCACCACCACAGCCCCAGCTCTGGGCAGCGTTGCCGGCCTGTGACCCCGTAGAATCAACCTATCTCCAGCCTATGCCACAGAGCGGGTAAATGCCTCTCCTGTCACAGGATGAGGGCCAGCAGTCAAATTTAGCAAAAGCAAAACAAACATTTAACAAAATAGGCCCTCCTCATTTTATTTTTTTTTTTTAAACCTGAAGTGAACTCGGTGGACTGAGCCTGGCTCTCTGGAACCAGGAACCTGCAGCTGCTCTGCCTTGTCCTACCTGTGGCCACAGTATCAGCCATTCCCCTGCGATGTGTCATTTGGCTTCACACGCACAGTTCCCACTCCAGACGCTCCTCGCGTGCCTGATGAGGCTTAAATAAGTCCTGCTGACCCACTCATTACCTCCGCGGCTCTCTGCATCCCTCAGCCCTGTCTCTGTCTTGCTTAACCTAAATCATTCGGATTCCTTGGGGCAAATGCTGATTTGTTGTTTATGCTTCATACATTACCCATACTTAATAAACAGCAATTACTTATGGAACCTTGATAAATATTCTACTATGCGTATACATATTGAGCCAATAACCCTAAGAGGTGATTTTCCAGGTGGCCGGGATAAATCTCCATGTATCAAGGGAAGGGCGACGAGACTCTCTAGGTTTGTCTGCAAAGGTTTCAGCACCCCCAAGCCACCCTGCGTCCATCCCCAAACCTCAGCCTACCAAACCACCCCACGGCAAACTCAAAGCAACACTTTGCCTTGCTCCAGACATATCCAGAATGGGAGGTCCTGGCACCACTCAGCATCTTTGGATGGGGACGACTCCCTCCAAACGGATCAGGAGACAAGCTAGACCAGGCGGCAAGGACACAGGCACCAACACTATGGGAGGAGGAGGACACAGCAGTTTAGCTGGAGGTGACTGGACCCTTCACTGCATCCTCCAGAGCCTTCTCCACCTTGCTACCACCTTCCTCTTGTCCCCATCCTTTTTTAGCTTGTTTTACTGTGTAGCCAAGAAGGCTGGCACCAAATCTTAAAGCCCGACTTTGGAGACCAGCCCATTCCAAATTGAACCAAATACCTGGCCAAGGAGGAGCATCGAGAACATCGGCAGGAAGGGAAGAAACACCCTGACGCAGCACTGCCTCTCCCACAGGGCAGGGAAGACAGCAAGGGAGAGAAACATGCAGCAAGGCTTTGGCTGCCACTGTGGAAAGCAGCCCTCCCTTCTCCATCCTTGAAAAAGACAGCATGGGGTGACAGGTTTCTGCACTGCTAAGCGCACGGACAAGACCAAAGAGCAGTATCGTTTCAGCATCAGGCTGTTGGGCACTGCCATGGAGCAATGTCCTGGCTAGACTGAAATTAGGGTCCCCCTACGACCCAGCACCACGAGCAGCAGCGTCTCCCCTCAGCAGGGCAAGCCTGGATCCCCACCTCGCCCCTCTGCCTAGCACGTGGGATAACAGGAGCTTCAGCCTTGGCACCCAGAAAGGAGAGGTTAGAAAGCAGGTTAATCCTCTCTCTGCAAGCTCTTCCCACACCTCCTCACATCACCTGCCAGCAGAGATGGCCACTTGCAAACACTTGCCTTAGAGGGTTACTGCAAATTATACCCATCTCTCTGGAAGGAGGCAGGACTTTGAAAAGCCTTGCTCATCTCAGAGTAGAGGGGCCCTGACGCTCCCACTGGAAAATGGCTTTCCACCCTGCCTTTCCCAAGCCATCCAAGGCAGCTTTAATCCTAAGCCACCACCCTTCTGCATCTTTCTGTGGCAGAATGATTTGCCCCCCGGCCGTGGGGTATAGTACACAGCGCTATACGGGAACCGGGACTCAGGGGGCACCAAGCAACGCATTACAATCAGATCTGATCACCAGGAGAGTTTTTCGTACCACTCTGCACCGGGAGACGCCATTTCAGCCAAACTGGATAACCTCACAGGCTGGATCCAGTGTTAAGAGATTTCATTTCAAGGAAAAAAAAAAAAAAAAAAAAAAAAGGAGGGGTGAGAAAGAATTGATACTTAGAGGAGAAAGGATTCGGGATTGATGCTCAGGCAGAGGTGGTTGCCGATGCGATGACCGGCAGCACTTTCTCTGCAGCAGTGCCTCCTGGGATCTTTTGCAAAACATAATCGTGCAATATCCCAGCTCGCTCGGTGCAGAACACTGCTTCCAGCTGCTATTAAATTGAACTAGCTTAATTTTACCTCTATCTCCTTCCCTCAGAGGGATCATTTCTAGGGAGCCATCACAACTGCCCTCAGTACCAGATGAAGCAAAAAACCTTCCAGGTGACCCCATGACCTGATGCTAATCAGGAACACTGATGTGCCTGCAACCACAAAGCCACAAACGAGCAGCCCACGATGAGATAGATAATCTCACCTCACCTTGCAAGAGCCATCAGCTTTGTCATCTCCCAGCCATAGAATTTGTTTTAATCCTTAAAATAAACCATCAGGATTAAACTGAAAAGTCCTGACAAGGATCTGCTGAGTGAGGGACTTGGTGTTCAAATGGATCATCAGGGAATCATGGATCATCCTTTTTCCCTGGAAAGGGTGTTTTGGTAAGATGGGCATGCCATGTGAAAGCACACTGGTTTTGACAAAATATTGAAACTACGCTTGAAGAAAAGGTTAACCCTACCGGAAGGGGCCATCTTCCTTCTGAAGTCCTTCTTAAGGCAGAAACCACTACATCATCAGATAGGTTTCTTGTTGAAGCAGGTCTGCGACAGATCCAAGCTTTCTTTCACTTCACTTGGCAGGGAAATTCCCAGCTTGTCTTCCAACATGGGGCAGAACCAGACTGTAAAAGAGCAGCTTTCCCACAAAATGGAAATTCTCAATTTTGGCCAGAGAAGACCGTCCCCTTTCCCGAGAACACCGCAATGCAATAAACAGGCAGAAACAGGTGCTCTGCTGTCCTCATTTTTCACATGAGAAACCGAGTTAAAGCAGGAAAATGCTTTCAAGAAAGCCATGTCCAACATTGATTTATACCTAGGTCCAAACAGGTATTTAAGGGCGTGCCACCTTAGCAGCCTAGAATTCATTAAAAGACAGTGGTTTTTGGTGTCTCCAGTGCCAGCTTTTAAAGGGCTTTCAAGGAGCGGGAGTGTAGTGGTCAAAGATGGGCTTGGACACTTCTGAGATCCAACTTGGTGTCTAGAGGTTTTGAAGGTCTCTGTTGTTGCCAGACCAGGTGACCTCAGGACTCTTGGTCCCCACACCCAGGGGTCTCAAAACCAGACTGATCATCCCTAAAACACCCAGAGCACCAGAAGCTTCTGTGATGTGCCTGTGTGGTCAAAGGAAGACCACGAGCACCTCTAATCATGGCGCGCTTGAGATGCGTTTCCAAACTCCTACCCTTAGCCAATTCAGACTCTTTCTTTATGATTTTAAACACCTCCCCAGAGAAGAAAAAAAAAAAAAAACAGCACAATTCCTTCCTGCAGATTTTGGCTGGAAACCAGTCACGGGCTGAAGCCAGGCTCCGTGCGCCAAGTGCCAGTGCAGCAGCCGTGCTCAGAGCCGTCCTCCCTGAGCCTGCTGCAGCCCAGCACCTTGGATTCCTTTCTTCACCATTTAAGGATGAGGAAGGCAGCTGCTCGGGGCCCAGCGAATTACCTGCGAGGGATTTGTTTTTGCTGTGAGTGCCTATGCCCTCACCACACAAACAAGCTCCTGAAGAAAGGAGGGTACAGAGAGAGGAGGGAAGGAGAAAAAAAAAAAAGCCAACAGGTTGATCTGGATTACATCAACGGTTACACCCTCCTCCGTTTAATGAACATAGGAGAACAGGTGCTTGTAATTCATTAGCCAACCCACGAGCTGAGGAGACAGGAATTAAGCCGACCAAACTCCTCAGCGTGCCACTATTCTCCTTCCCTTTGAGGCAGCAGCAGCGAGAAAACTTCATCTCCTTTTTTTCCTCCTCCTTTCCCTCCCTTCCCCTCCCCTCGAGCTGCAGAGCCACAAGCCGAGCATGACTAACCCTTGCAAAGCCTTCACCAGTGGCTCCCTCTCCTCTTGGGAGGTGTCAGGGAAGATGAGCCGAGGAAAAGCAGCCGGCACGTCCCCGGATCGCCTGGGCCGCTGCAGTCCCAACGGGGTGGCCAGCAATGGCTGTGGCGCTCTCAGCCTCCACGGAGATGGCGAATACCGATGCTCCTCTTACCCCTCCTTCTCCATCGACGGGAGACTCCTGGCCCCTGTGCACCTCGATATCGACCCTGACTTCCAAGCCATGCGGCAGCAGGAGAAAGAGGACATCAAGTTGCTCAACAACCAGTTCGTGACCCTAATTGAGAAGGTAAGGTGAGCTACTGAGGACCACAGTGCAGCATGGGGATGAGGATGGTGGTGGGGAAGCAGACACTAACCAGTCTCTCAGGAGACTTCTGAAGGCCTTCAGCTAACCATTGCCAGGCTCTGAATATTAGGCTAATTACCCAATTAGTTATTCCTTCAGTGCTATCTGTTTTAACAAGGGTTAGCATCACCTCTAGGTGAAGCCGGGCCGCATCTGTGGTCAGCAGCACCAGGCAGCCTGTGCATCTCCTTTGCTGCGCCTGTCACCCCATGGGTCCCTGGGGAGGACAGGCAGCTCTGCCCTCGGGGACCCTGCCCTGCCTGAGCAGCAAAGGCAGGGCCACGGAGGCACGGTGCCGGACAGAGCAGGCCTTGGCTCCCGGAGTGGACAAACAGCCACGGGCGGTGACGCTGATTAAGACAGCAGCTCAAATTCTTCTCCAGTTGCTAAAGAGAGCTGGAAATTCACCTCCATAGCAGCGTGGTGGGCAAGGGAGACCCCCCACCCACCTCCCTCCTCTGTGGTTTTTATTGCGAGGGGTTGCATGCTTAGCCAAGAAAGTGTCGCTTTCATCTCTTAAGATCCATGAGAAGGCAGAAGGTTTTCTCAAAGGAAAACAACTCATCTAGCTGAGGCAGGTTTCTGCAAAGCCCTGGTGCTCTGTAAACAGATGGTAATCTCCTAGGAGGATTGCTTCACTGCAGTCTACAATACAGGCGCTCAATGCCAAGCTACTATGGCTTGGGATTTTTTTTTTTTGTTTGTTTTAACTCTACCTCTAAGAGGACCTGAATTCACACTGAGAAGGAGAAGGGCGGGGGAACCATCTCCCATAGCATCTATCTAAACTGAATAGTTGTGAACCACCACCACCTACGTGTGGAAGCAGGCGCACAGCGGTACCAGGGGGCCGACCCTGGATGCAGGGGCATGGCAGCCTCCACATCTGGGCTTTTCCAAGCACAGATCTTGGCAATGTGAATTTGGAGAACCCCTGGTTTGGCAATCACCCAGGTGGGTTGTATTGCACGTGCTGCAGGACTGGTCCTTTGGCTATCCAGATCGAGAGGTCGGGGTTTGTGGGATGTCAGCCCTGCTCAGAAACCAGACCTCAGCAGAAAGGATGGGGGTAGGAGAGATGGGACAGGACCACGCAGTGACAATACGTACGTGAGCCAGACCACATGCACTAGCCTGTTCTGTGCAAACAGCGATGGAAGAACTGAGAGAGCCTTCAAGTTTCCTGATAAACCCAATCTGGTGGCCGGCTGATAAAAGTGTGTGTTACAGGGCCTGATGGACAGAAGATACAAACACCTCACCTTAGTTGGGCGGCTTTGACTTCGGTGCTAGCAGCTTCTGCGCTTAGCTTTGAAGGCTGCAGCTTCAAGTGGTACATCAAGTGGCAAACTTCAGCCATCTGCCTCAGGCCCTCATTCCAGAGGAAAGTAATGACACTTCCTTGTCAAGGAGAACTTGCCTTTTTAATCAGGAATTCAGATGGTCTCAAGCAGCTAACTCCTCAGATAATTGACCACACTAACTTTAGGAGTTTGTTGCTGATGGTTTTCCAGGAGGCTGTTCCAGATCTGCTAGTATTTGTTTTCCATCCAGATATGTCCAGGTGGAAGACAGAGTAAAGGCAAGTCATGGAGCCCCTCTTTGAAGCCCTACCTTTAGCCTGAGCAGCACAGAGGTAGAGGCCCCGAGGACCAAGCTTTGGTCACTTCTGTGTTCAGGCATGGTTTTCCAGGAAATGAGGCCATGTTAAAAGACTTTGCAAGGAAGAATTTCTGCTAAGAGGGATGCTGTATAAGGAGCCAAGATGTTAGCGGTTCA